AACTGCAGTTCCCCTGAAATGGCACTCTATATTGCTTTGGGAGCCAGCAGCACACAGAAGCAACTGAATGAACCAGCTGTAAATTGGGACAAAAGGCAGACAGAGAAGTGTGCAGAGTAAAGAGAGGAAGTCAGGTCTGAGAAGCTGAGGAACAATTTGCAAACAAGACAATTTAAGAACCTGTGTGATTTAATGAATGTGCCTCTGTCAAAGATGTCATTCAAGTCAGTTAAAACTTTTCCCAGGATTCTTCTAACTGTACACTGATATTTCAGATGCCTGATTTAAGTCTTGGAGGTCAACTCCCAGAAGTGATGATCACGTGCTACTGCAGCTAGCACCAGTAAACACTGAGCATGGAAGATGCTATGTATTGCCTCACATGCAGAAGATCAGGTACAGGTAACTCAGACTCTGTTTCCAGACGTAAGAGGTAAGTTTTGATTTCCCAGTGCCTATGATCCTCAACTACAAAATGAAGATCCTATTATTCCATCTCAAGTATCTTAATATTGTGTCGTTCTAAGATTAGTGGTAAAAATTCCATATAGAACTTTTAGAATTAGAATTTAGAATTTTATAGAAATTTCCTATAGAAAAAAAACCATTAGTATGTAGACTAAAAAATGAATGCTCAAGATATTCAAACTTCTAAGGCTGCTGAGGCACAATTTTTCCCACATATAGACCTGAAAATAATTATTTTGATATTCAATCAGTTTTCATTTTATAATCATTTCAATTTCAGGTACCATTGAGTATAATATTATGTGTATGTAAATATGCAATATGTGCAAGTTCACACTTCATCCAGCTGCAAAGAAGAAAATCTTTATGTGTATATCTTGGGCTGGCAGTGAAAGATATTTCCCAGTTTTTAAGTAAACCCACAATTTTTTGAAACTTCGTTTTTATTTTTAAGCTACTATTTAAACTTGTGGCTCAAAGGATTCCAGCAAAAGTAAGAAAATAAATATTGTTCTTTTTTCATTGCGCTAGGTTACCCTCCAGAAGAAGGCTATTTCCAAAACAGCACAGATTATGCAGTGTTTTTTCTTCTGCCAGTTTACTAAACTCTAACTCACAATTTTCCAAGGACAATGCCTCAGCTTTGTGTGTTCTGCATGCTTTTTTTTTTTTTTTTTTTTCCCTTCAAATTCTAACTTCCACCTACAAACATATCTTTTTTCCTTTCCTGAGGTATATTTCCACTGCTTTGGATTCCCATCTTGCTTAGTGCCCAGTACTGTATCTTAATGCTATTGTCAACTTACAAAATTTGAAGTTTCTAATAGGAATTAATTTAAGTTGAAAAAAAAAAAAAGTTTCAGCAATTGCTATCGTCCTTTCAGCAAGACAGCATATGAAATTTTTGCTCACTCAGTGAGTCACTGCATACTGACAATAACCTGCGTTATCCACAGATGTGATAAAGGAAATGTAAGTAGATGGGACACATCTGTTCATTCTAAACATTGCTTCGTTAGTGTCATAACATTTATTTTTTACGGATGTTTATGTTTAGAATGTAAGCTAATGAGGACATGAATTCATAAATACACAATCTAGCCAAGAATCTTATTAACTGGACATTAATTACAACAACAAAAACAAACTTGTATGATTCTGTCATGTTCTTAAGTCCTTTTCTTCAACTTGAAATGGTATCACTGATAGTAACCACAACTAGTAGTCAAATTATCTAATGAGCCTGAAGTCATAACTCATGCACTATGGTCCACAGCTGCCCAGTAGTACCAGAAAAATTATGGGTTTTTTGCAAAGTGTTGCACAGTGGAATAGGCAAACAAACTTCTGTCTTCTCTTTCCTGAAACAGTAAACACCAATCAGAAGATAAAGATACATATTCCATGTCTCAGGGACCAAATGTGGGCAGAAAACCTGTGGTAACCTGTCACCATTTCAATTGCAAAATCTTCTATAATACTCCAAACTTCAATGTTCCATAGAGAATAACAGTAGGAAAGGCTTGAAAAGGAAGAGAGAAAAAAAAAAAAAAAAGGTGTGTGTGGGAATAATAAAACATGAATGACTTGCTTCAATGCCTTAGCATTATTAAACCAAGAACATCTACGTTGCTTGCAACAACTACTCAGCAAAGATAAGGAGACAAACCAAGTTACAATCTTTTTTTTTTTCTTTTCTTTTTAAAAGAACTTCTATCTCTAACAATCTATCAGAGTGTAAAGAGAAAATTATTTGTTCGCCAGAAAAACATTTCCTACTACACTTAATGTCTACAGGCTGGGGGCTACTACAATAAAAGAAACAGAAGTACAAAAAGGAAAACCTGACAGCACTGAAAACAATCAGAAACGCCACTGAATGCAGTAGGCTTGTGATTCTACAAACAGTTTACCTGTCCTTCAGATTAGCAATGTGAATCTGGAAAAAAATGACAGATACTGGAAAATTATTGGGAGCAAATTATCTCATGATATTTTGGCATTGCCATGTACAAATAAAATAGCAGTAGTGCACGATTTGCATGGGAGAAATGATGAGAAACCGCTAACAAAAATGAAGGGTTCCTTTTGACATCACACAGTTGTTTTTATTTATCTATTGTGGTTTTCCCTGAAGGGTTTTTGAATTTACGAAAACAAACAACAAAAGTATGGTGAAAAGGGCTTCATATTATCAGTGAACAGATCAGAGAGGTTGCACAAACTATGTGCAGTACCACTAAAATCTGAGTACAGGACCAATAGCTCAGTAGAACAGCACTCATTTTATTCTGGCACTGGTGTACATAAGAACCTTTGTTTTTCCAAGATGTTTTTAACCAAATATTGGTTCTCCTATTAAGAGATAAGAAAAGATAAAAATCAGAAGATTTTTAATGTCTATTTAACTAGTCATTCGACACAGAAGAATCTATGTTTTCTGGCAGCTTTAATAGATAGCTTGACTATACTTTTGGTTCCATGGCAGTGACATGAGGTGTCATGAGCAAGTTTATTCAAAATTCCTCAGTATCACATCATGAAAACACATGTTTTTAAACGACAGATGAAGAACTCCAGGTCTGGGGATCTTTTACACTAAAACACAGCCAGTTCCACTTGGAAGTGTATCTCATAGCCCTGACTTGCAGTATTCCACATGTTGAGCTGTCTGACCACTCTAAGCAGACATCTGTGGAAACTGGCAAACAAGTACGAAAATAAATCTGCGTAAGCCAGGAGTTCCTGACAACTTTTAAACTGTTCTCACACAAGGGTACACCTGGAATCTGCACAATCTTGGATAAGTTACTAGAGGGAGCTACAACTACACGGGCAGGCTAAATAAACACTAAATAAACACCAAAGGAATATGAAATTATTTGAAAACTAGTTGGCTGATTGTCACTACTTTCTCATCCCTCACACGGAGAAAACATTATTCTTGTAACCATGTATAAGCAAGGACTCATTTAATTAAGCTCAGCAAAGATATCCTGGAATCACTATCATTGTTTAGAAGAATGATTTTATACAAAATAAAATCTAAAAGGAAATTGAGTTTCTGAAATAAAGAAATGGCATTCCAGCCTTACGAAGAATTGATGTACCAACTAAACTCCATGCAAAAAAAAGAAAAACCTGAAGAGAAAATGGCACTTCTATGAAACTTAGGAAAAAACTGAATGGAATTTGGATTTTCTTATAATAAATCCTACTTTCAATTTTACAAAATAACATTATGAAAAAGTTCAAAGGCTCTGGAAAGGTTATAACTGACAAAATAACAACCTATTATTTTCTCATACGTGCTAAACTCTTTTTCTGACTGGAAAATCATGTTTTCAAAAGAGCTCAGTGGTTTAGGGAAGACAGGAGTCTAATTTAACAATTCAACACTATAATATGGTCTTTAAAGGGCTGGAAGGTTAGAGAAACGTCAGTCATATCAACAAAGCGATTGAAAATACCCATGCAAAACCAAATAAAAACACAGATTTCCAATGCCTTTTTATTGGGCTCTTTCTGTATAGACTTAACATACATAGACAAACATGTAAGTTCACTTTTCAAGTGGATCTATACTTATCTGTGTGCTAGTTTTCCTGAAACTACCAAGCTTTTTAAACTGCCCACATATTTGAATAATTTCCAAACTGTTTGATAAAATTTTGTACTAAGTGCAGGGTGAAAGGCAAACTGTACTGAAAATCTGAAATTGAATAAATTCAATTCAAAAAACTGAGAGGTTCACAGCGATGTCCCACCTGTTACTAATGCTTCTATTTCTGTTACCCCTCCCTCACCACATACTGCAGTTCCTGTCCTTCTTACAGACAATATCTCAGTTCTAACATGTTTTTTCACACACAGAAAGTATAGGGAACTGAAGATTGGTATATCCCTAATGCTACATCTAAACAAAAACTACTGTTTGCAGTAAAGAACAGACACCTCTGGAATGGCAGCAGCAAGACAACAATTAGATTTGCAACCCATTACCAAGAGAGATTCTGGAAGATGGATCTTTCCGACACAAGCATAAGGACAGACTTTAAATTAAGATCTGTTACTTATCCAGAAGTTACATTACTGAATAAGAAAAAAATTAGACCCAGTGAATACAGGTAAGATTCTTTGGCACTGTAAAACAGAAGGTCAGATTTGACTGCCATATTGGTCTTCTCAAAATTTGAAAAGAAAGTTAAGTTTTAGTGGAAAATACTATACTAACAGATATAGAGACAAGCCAACAGTGTCACATGTAATATTACAGTTGGGCAGAGTAGACATTAGGAGAAAGTGACATGGCCTTCCCTGGAGATATTGCATTTATTCATGATCTCCACAGGTAACAAAACCAGCACCAGTTTCTAGAAGACAATACCTAATACATATTAGTTCAAAGGCACTACGCAATTTAAATTAATCAAATAGATGGCTCTAGCATTTTTCATACATTTTACAGTTCTCACAGAAAGGAGAACTCCCGTTCCTCCAGATCTTACAGCATTAGGAAGTAAATAAATTACCTGTAACCAAAGTCTGTCACTTGTAGTGAATTTACCATTGGCAGTGCATTGAAAAGTAGCAAATTGTCCTGCATTGACTTCCACACTCTGAAGACGCAAGAAATGGGGAGTTTTTGCTGTTGGAAGAAGAAAAAGGATTCAAATTAAGCAATACAAACACAATGATTATAATTAACACATGGAATACTGTTCCACTTCAAAAGGCTTAAATCACTGAAGATACATTATATTTTAGGTTGTATTAAATTTATTCTTTTATTCCTCTGTCTCTGGGAAAAAGCAGAAATGATGGGTGCTATTTAATTAATCCTGCTATAAATTATCTTAGCTCAGCATCCCTTCTGCAATTAACAATCTGTATTAAGGAAATTGTATTGAAAATAAATTGATACTCAGAATAAAAAATTATTAGCTAGACTACTGACTAGACACAACAGCAAGAAGTTGAGAGATGTTGTCAGGGAAACAGGTCTTCCTCTTAACCAGGTACAGTTAGAGAAGATGCTTTAGAATTGTAGCATGAAACAGCTAAAATGCTAACATTATGCTTCTCGCTACCTACAGCTGCATTCCTTCCACAAAATTAAGTGTTGAACAAAAACAGAACACAAGGCATTCTCCACACTGATGCTTATCTTTAATTTAGAAAGAGAAAATGCTCCTAAGCAAAAATGAAAACAATACAGCAGCATTTAACCTAACTAATAATAGATATTCAAATGAGACCCATCTCTACTGCAGAAGGAAAGAGAGCATGTATATTTCCGTTTTACTAGAGAGAACAAAAAACGTGACAGAAGAAGACAGAAATCTGATATAGAAACTCACCCTTGAGAACACATTGTTGCCCAGCAATTCAAATCCTACTGCAGTCAACGAGAATTTTTGCACTGTCTATACTAGCAGATAAGCCAGGCTCTGAACATTGCTTTCAGTCATGGAACAGCTAATATTAGAATAAACTACAAAATTAAGCATACGCTTTCTAGCAGAGCATCACAACTGCTTAAAATGCTGATGACATTCTCTTAGAAGAGCTTATCACTGGGGCAAACTACAGATTATAACAGAAAATAATCAGCAACCAGATTTGAAGAAAACAAATTTTTTTACAGCCAGCATAAGGCAGTATAAGAAGCCAAAGATGGAAGAAAACAGCTCTAGTTAATATCTAATTGCAGGAGGAAATGTTTTCATGACAGCTGTCCTTTTGGCAAATTTACTAGATGTAGCATTTGTCTTTATTTGAACATTTCCCCATGGAATCAGGGCAGACAGCCTCTATCTTCTTCACCTATGAAATTATTACTGGTTGCCTATTAAGTAAAATTCTCAGGAAGTTTCTCTTATTTTTTTTAATATCAAATTTTACCCTTTTACCATACTTGTTTTTTCCCTCGATCTTCCCAAACACTGCTAAGGTAGCCTCTCTGAACTACAATGCATGGCCTAAGTAGAAAGGGACTTTAGGATTTTTAAATACACACACACAAACCAACCAATTGCCAAAGACTTCTTTCAGTTCCACACACAATCTTAATTTTCACTTTGCCTTTGTCCACACTACCCAGACAACTGCCTAAAACGTATGTCATGGTTTCATGGTATTTTTCCTATTTCAATTTTTGTTAAAAGTTAATCATTTAGAAAGTACTTTTTCTAGGACTATACAGGAAGAAAAGTCATTGTGAGTCTTGCAAGGCATTATATACAAAATAGTTTATTTCCAATTCTCCTTTTTTCTATTTTCTTGTAAACAGTGATGTTTTAATGTCTAACATTTTAGTTATTTTATTGAAAAAGTGTTTCATTACAGTTTCTAAATTTCAACACTTTAGAATTAGGATTCTACGCATTATGAGATGTAACTCAGTACTTGCAGCTTTTGAGAATGAATGCACAGATCAAACTTCTCAAAAACTCTAAGAAAAATCACTATGCTGATAAAGTGCTCCTTTATACTTCACTAGTCAAACCTAAGATATGAATTCAGAACGTAGAAGTGCAAATACTGCCTAACAACGAGAGCCTGCTGTGTTTATTAGAACTAAGTGATTCAGAAATAATAGCTGCTGATTCTGCATAACTGTCTCCGTATTTGAAGAAATGTCTATGTCTTTTTGCCACTAACACTAAAACGATATTTATGAGGTGTTCTAGCATTAACCAATGAGCCACTTTTTATTTTAAACTGCAGCTCATACTTACAAATCACAAAGAATGCATACAAGTACAATATGTCATAAGAAGCGGATGAACAATTACACAGCATTTGGTATCACAGAATCACAGAATTGTAGGGGTTGGAAGGGACCTCCAGAGATCATCAAGTCCAACCCCCCTGCCAAAGCAGGTATCTTTTTCCTCACTCAGTCATTTGGTCAGTGAGACTACAACCTACAATTCAATGTATGACTTCAATATGTGTTACTTAACAAATAGCAGATACGTGAATTGATAGTTTCCATAAGCAATTTGGTTAAAGACACCTGGATTACTATATCCAACTTTTAATTCATGAGGTTGATTTTAATATCGCTCTTAAAAGAACTTAGGGGAGCTAAGTACTGCATGTTCTTAGTAATCATAGAATTGTAGGGGTTGGAAAGGACCTCTGGAGATCATCTTGTCCAATCCCCCTGCAAAGCAGGCTTCTTACAGTAGGTTACATAGGAAAGCTTCCAGGTGGATTTGAATATCTCCAGAGAAGGAAACACCCAAACAACTCTGGCAAGCCTGTTCCAGCGTTCTTTCACCCTTAAGATGAGGGTAAGGACTTTTTTTTCCTCACGTTTACATGGAACTTTTTATGTTCAAGTTTGTGCCCGTTACCCTCTGTTCTGTCACTGGGTACCACTCAAAAGATACTGGCTCCATCCATTTGACTTTTGTCCTTTAAATATTTATATGCAGTCTCCACCAGCCTGAACAGTCCCAGGTCTCTCAGCTTTTCCTCATAAGATAAATGCTTCAGGCTCCTAACCATCTTTGCAGCTCCCCACTAGACACTCTCTAGAAGTTCCCTGTCTTTCTTTAACTGAGGAGCCCAGAACTGGACACAGTACTCCATATCAGGCCTCACCAAGGCAGAGCAGAGTGGGAGGATCATCTCCTTGGACTTGCTGGCCATGTTTTTTTTTAATGTAACCCAGGATACCACTGGCTTTCTTGGCCACAAGGGCACACTGCTGGCTCCTGACCAACCTGTTATCCATCAGGACATTCAGGTATTTTTTTGCAGAACTCCCTTCTAGCAGGTCAGTGCCTTGTCACAGTGGGATAAAGAAACATATGAGAAAATAAGGCAGTAAAAAAACTTCAAAAATTTAGCCATGAATGTGAACTTTCTAACTGGGAATTTACCCTGAGCAATCTTGTTTGGTAAAGCCACAGCCCTCAACCAGCTAAGTTTTCTACCTTCTAAGAACTAGAAAAGTAGTCATGTCATCAGTTCAGTTCTTGTATTGTCCACCTCCCTCATTAATGCCTCAGCTTGTAGCTGCATTTAATTTTTGATGTTGATAGAAAGACATATAACATGTCCTGATGATTTTTGTTCTGAAAGAATTGTTAGATGATGCAAGTTCATGCTGTGCAAAAGTGGTATATAAAATACATCTCCTAAGCTGGTAAGGTGCAGTGATCAAATGCTAGCAACATTTCATATATACTTAGCGTATTTTTGCAGTAGTGACATTTTTTTCTGACATTTTCTGTATCTTTTCCTTAACATTTACTGAGGGACAGTAGCACATACATTTTAGAAGACTTTAAAATAGTGTGTGGATACTTACTACATGGATGTCCTAAAACTTTCACTTCATCAATGGCCACATATCCAGGGTGACCTGAAGTTACCACTTCAAAAACAACCTGAGAAGTAAAAAGAGAATTTCTGTTAGCAGCTTTATAGAAGAGGAAATATAAAAATACTTTGTTATGGAAAAATATGTCAACTCTTTCAACATTTGAGAGCTCTTTGTAAATGAAGAACAATAAAAAAAAGCTTCAAAATGAGTTATAAAAAAGAGCCAGAACATAAATTGTATTTTTCATGTTTAAACTGTTTCAGAAATTTACTAGAGTGATTATACAAGGCTGATAATGAGAAATACTCCCCCAGTATTTGGCTGCCAAAATAGTTACCTAATAATCTTCTTAAGTATTAAAATCAATAATTTATTTTTAATTATTTTATTTGAATGGAACTCAGACCTAATTTTACTAAATAAATGACCACTCTTCAGTATACAGTGTTCTACATAGTATCAGATACAAACAAATCCATTTTTAAGAATGTATTCTCTGTGCTCTTAGTCTTCCAACAAATCCTGTGAATTAAAGAAAAGCAGATCCATATGCCATTGTTTGTTTAATGGCTATAAATAGGTCACATAATAAATGGAGTGCTCTTGTTATTTGAATTAAGCACATTCAGAAGTAAACATCTCCAAACTTTGGCAACCTTACTTTTAATAGCCCAAGAATGTTTATGTGAAATAGAAGAAAATATGCCAGTAACATTAGCAGGTACATTTCCAAAGCAATGGAAAAGAAGCTCATGCTCAAAGTCAGCCTGTGAAGAAGTTGAAATTCAGAAGCAACTTTTCATATATATGCTACATTTGATCTTGCAATAGATGCAGATGGACACTGCATACTATACCCTTAGCAACAATTATTTCGGCAGAAAGAGAATGATACCAAACACAAGCATGTTGTAAGGATAACATACAGCCCCCTAATATTAAACCAAAGTTTTCCATTGCCGAATGAACACTGGTAGAAGACCAATATTGATTTTGACATAGACTTGGAGATACGCAAATTCTTTTCCAGCTCTCACCATTTTTCATCTTTCTCATTTCTTCATCATCACTGGCCAACAACCCTACTCTTTTGTCTCAAATATCACAGTATTCTTCCTAAATTCTGTCCATTTCTCCTCAACATCAGTGGAGTAAAATTGCCATACATATAGTTTTAAGTCCACACAACTGACAAGAAAAATATCTGTTTTTCATTCTATTTCTGTCTCCTGTCCACAAAAGAATTTCAATCTGCAGGGCTAACATTGCCTCCAGGTGAACATGACTACAAGAGAAAAGCATGAGATGGCCATGAAGAAAGTTCAAAATCCACCAACCAATTTTTGTAGAAACAAGTTCTACAAGACAAAGACTGCTCAGTCACAAACCTCAGCTTGTGGACTTCCAAATAGCTGAAGGCACTCTGATGGCACTCATAGTTGATACTGCCCATCCACAGCAACTGAGTGGTCAGGTTATGTATGTGGCTCCTTGTGTTCAGCTGAACCTCTAGATCAAGACCGCTCAAAATTTCAAAGCATCTCTTTTCTACAAAAAACATTTTTTTGGTGGAACTGATCTTAGGAACTACCCTGAGATACATAGCTCTTAAAAGAATAATTTCCTTTCAAAAAACTGAGAGAGGTTTACAAATGATGGTCTCTACTTAGCAGCATTTAAATGGAAATAATTATATAATTATATATATATATATATTTATATAATTATATATAATTTAAAATCTTCGCAGCATTTAAATGGAAATAGAAACTGGTAACTTGCACAAAGAAACCTCGAGTCTCAATAGCAGAGAAAGACTGAAAAAAGGAAATTGAAAAAGGAGGAGACTGCTCCATTTCTTGGGGTTCTATCAAGACTACTTACAACAGAGCAGGTCTGAAAGACTGTAGGGCATGAAAATGATTGCACAGTGCTGAAAACGTGCAGTAAAGACAGGGATGTTACAACATGGCAGTGAAGAACAGAGAGTAGACAGTTTGGTCTCAGAAATGGTGGAAAGGTTCCTGGGGAAATATGATGCCAGTAAGAAAGCCACTGAGCAAAATGAATCCAAGGTGGAGGTAAAGAACAGCCTGAAAAAATCCAATTTCTCTGATTTCTCTCCTGTACTCTCTAGCTGCTTTGAGTTTCAACTGTTAAGAAGAAAAAAACAAAAACTCTAAGTCTTATTTTTATTGAAATTGATCTCACAAGTTTCTTTAAAGTTTCTTTCAGGCAACTCGCTGTAAGGAGATCTGCACAAAGCCATCATGATTCCAACACGCACAGAGAATGTTCTTGTCAGGCTCTTCATTTTCAGATACACTAAAATGTAGAAAAGTACTGGAGATATCTGCATATGCACAACTTTAAAGAAGTCAGCCAATCATTAAGTTTTCTGCTAAAATTATTACTGCCATATAACAGGGATTTAACTAATGTCAGAAAATAGTTGCATAAGAGAGTCTTTTACAAGGAGTGGTCTGACTTTCAAGAAAAACAAATATCTAATTAGAAAATCTCAAAATAATTTTTGTAATCCAAAACTGGGGAGCTTAGCTACAGATTTTCCAACAGGTTTCAAGTACTTCATTATCACAATATACTCACAAACAAGTATAGACTGACCATAAGCCAGTTCTATCAGTTTACTGGCAGAAACTACAACCTCGAAATAACTAAACTGGATATACTTATGGAAACAGAGAAAGATGCAATGAGTGATCTAAAATATTTTGCAATATCTCTAGACAATATACCAAAAATACCATCATCACAAATAAGCCAAGCAATGTATCAAGAAACTGCCAGCTGGATGTGTTATTAAATTACAAATGTTGTCACTTAGGAGAGCAACTTTTCCAAAGAAAAGTTATGCAAGTTGAAATATAGTCAGTTTAATCACGCATCCATTACATGCAATAGTCAAGCTGGTATCAACTTACCTGACCATATATTTTAGTCTTTTTTGACAGAAAAGTCACATTTATTAGTAAATAGAAAGGGACACTATAGCCAGCAGTGATACACTATAGCCAGCAGTGATACACTATAGCCAAACAGACATCAGTGATGTGCCCTTCCCTTCATATATTCAAGAACACGACACACATTAAAAGTACAGTAATAGAATTTACTCTGTTCACAGTCTGAGAAATACTATCAAATTCTGTATCCAAATCCAGTACAGTTCTATTAATATAAATAAAGATTATAGATCACAGTATTTGCTCAAGTGAGCATGTTCCCTCGTACATTAAAAAAATTCATTTGATTCTACAGATGCCATGGGCCTGCAAATCCCTGTAAGCATACTGCACACTGCATGGGACTGTTCAGAACTGGACCTAGAAACATTTCTGCTAACTTGTTTTTCTTCTAAAAAGCTGACAGGGCTGTCAGGATTTAATGATCTTAGAGGTCTTTTGCAACCTAAATGATTCTACGACAATTCACAGATGTGGATCAGTTTCCCTAATTATTTTTCTTAGAAATAAAACCCCACATCTTGTTTCACACCAAGCTTTCTCCAACATTTCACACTTGAAAAGCTGTGTGTTTTGTGGAATTTCACATTTCTACTTCAGAAGCCAAACTTTGCATTTCCTCCCAGCTGCCACAACACCTGTGGGCAATATGACAGACTCCAGTCAAAACAAAGGCGACATCCAAGCAACAGCAGGCAGGGCAGTCCTTTGATTTGTTAGTCTTATTATTCCACCACCTTATCAGGCAGGAAACAACTGGTTAAAACAGTAAATTCAACTGCTCAGGAAGAGCTGGGCTGATGCTGGCCATGGAGCTGCCTGGCCTCCTGGGTCTGCCAAGCAGGAAGCAGGAAAGTGGCCTAACGCTGCATGTCCCAGAGCCTCCCTGCTCCACTGAAGGGCAAAATTAGCTTCTCATTCCTGCCGCTTCCCCTTTCTGTGCATGAACAAAAGAAGGGGGGCTGCTCACCAACGTAAATGCTTACTGCTTAAAATGTGCAGCTCACGATAACTTCTCTGCTCCCCTGAACAATAGGAATAAATAGTTTTTGCTGCCACACAACCTCGCTCTGTAAATTCCTGCCTTTGTTGTTGCAAAATCACAATGCTTTTAGTTGAAAGGTGGGTTGTACCTCTACTTCACATGGCTTAAAAATAGCAGTCTGCAAAAAACAAGACGGAAAAAGGAGTATTGAGAAAGCTCCTTAACATTAGACTGCTTTTTTTGCTCCCCATAAACTGGGCCAAGACTCCTCCAGCATGCATCCCACCCTGCCAACAGCATTTGTTGCCTTCTCTTCAGTGTCTGCTGCATTTTACTCCAAATTGTTCCTTTCCTTGGTCAAATCAGACACCAGTGGTTACACAAAGGTAAATTGAGCACTTCTCCCCTTTGGGGCCTGTCCTAGGACTGCCCCTGTTCTTACTGTCTCTTCAAAGCCACAGTAAGGGACATTTCTCACTTCATCCTTCACAGAAGCCACAAAAACCTACCAGAGCGTATTTACTTGGGCTCTTAGCAGCACTGCCACACCTAGAACATGGTTAGGCCTCATAGATTAGGAATTTATTGCATGCTATGTGCGTCTCCATCTATCATTCCTACACAACTACTGTCCAACACTCAAATGAGCACTTCAGCACATTAAACAACACCTAGGTTGTGCTGCCAACCTAAGAGTCCAAAGAAACCTTTTCAAAGTGAACAGCACTGAAAACTGAGCTCCAAACTATCAGGCTTACTACATCATGCTCTTCTTGCTTTGTTTTTAAACCAGATGTGGTTGAACAGTTCCCTTCGTTTAGGAACAAGGGATGGGAGAAAACACTAGACTTTTGTTTAAAAGTAAGCAAGAATGCATCTGCTTACTCTTGGACATTCATATATTGATGGTTTTTTTTAATTTAGATACGTTGCCTACCCTCACACATGTTTCTCAAAATAAATGCATTCCGAAATCACACAACTCGGTGAAAAAGATTTTGGACCACTCAAAGCCATTCAAGAGGCAATATGTACTTCCAACTTTGAGTTCAAAGCGCAGTTCAGTAACCATAAGCATGCAGTTTAATGTAG